ACGTCTCATAACGGTGTCTGCTCTCGAAATCATTGGCGTAATTAAGTTTAGAAAATGCAGGTATGTGGCTTCGTCCATACGTAAGTAATTACGAAAATCGTCAGGATCATTACGTGATTCCGCTATTAAATTCGTATGAGACAAGAAATTCCTATTCAGCAACCATGGTTTACACCATTTCCTTTTAGTTTTTAAGTTTCTTTTTTTTTAATTACACACACTGCAGCCGTTGCAAGAATGAACTCTTCGTCCAAATGTTCCATCTTGGCAACAATGCACGTTTGGGTGGTCTTCCTTCACATCTGTGTAAAACGAACTGAACGTGTAAACGCCAGATTTTCGTTCAGTTCATCTGCACAGATCTGGCTTGCGCAAGCCAAATCGTTCAGATGGCTTGAGCGTGTAAACGGGCTTTAAGAAGAAGACTGTGTTCGCATCTGGTTCTTATGTGTGATTCAGTATATATATAGTTTTTCAGCAGCTGTGAAAAGATCTGACAGTGGTGTAAGTAAATAGTTAGTGTTTCCATAGCCACTGTCAACCAAAATAACACAATTTGGGACTTCACCATTGGAAAATCTGCTCTTGATTCTGTGGTTATTAAAAATAGTTTGGTCATGGCATGAACCCGGCCACCTTGCCACTATGTCAATTATTTTCAATTGCGTTTTAGTATGTGTTCAAAAACCTTGCTAAGCACCGGGAGTAATGTGATTGGTCTGTAGTTTGCCGTTTGTGTACTGTTTTGACCGTTTTTCGGAATAGGAATTATAAGACCGCTTTTCCATGATTTTGGAATTTTGTAACTTGTAATGCATTTGTTTATTTCAGTTAGGATGAGTTTATGGGTTTCTTGGGTTGAGCTTTTCAGGAGTTTTGCCTTTATTTTGCCTTTTCCCGGTGCTGTGTTTTTGATTTTTAATATGTGATAGGGCTTCATCGTACTCTGTGTCTGTGATTGGTTTGTAAGTATAGTTTGGTGAGTTGTTAAAGTAGTTCAAGTACCAGTCATTTACCAGGTTCCAGTTGTCATTGTCAAAGTTAGGGTTGGTCGAAGTGCTGAATGCTTTTGATAATGTCTGGCGAACGCGTCCGCCTTCTCTCTGTCTGTGTAACGTTCTATACTGTTTTCGTCAATTGTGTGAGTGGTGTTAGTTTTTTTGTTTTTTGCCAATATGTTTTACCCTTATCTTTCTCAATTTCCTGGCATGTTTGTAGCCATTTGTCTTGTCGATATTGTCCGATCAAAGTTTCAATGTTTCTGTTAAGGTGGTTTAGTGTTTTTTTTAGTTCGTCATTTTGGGTATATGTATATTGTCAGAGCTATGTAAGTATACGTCTCTATGTCATCTCTATATTACACGTCATGGACGAATAGAGATGGCGGCGCTTAAGTAAGCCACCCACGGCTGCCTCTGGTGGAGCGTCGAGGTACAAGAGCGAAGGGCGTTGGCCATGCCCTGGGTACTCTCACTTAAAAACCTAACCGAGACCGACTGAT